AAACTTTTGTCAATCACTTCTCTGGCTGCTTTTGTCCCTGCTTGTCCGACAATCTTGGTACTGATGATTATTACCCAGTTTGGTAATGAAACGTCTGAAAGAAAACAAGCAAGCTCAGAGACAACCCAGGATCCCGCAGGGCATGACAATTTCTTTCTCAAATACGTTCTGACTCAGGTCTGTGGTGTGAATCCACTATCTGACGAACTTTGTGCAATGCAAACCACACACACTTAGCCCAGTGTGTGTCTTGGAAGTCTGTTACATTCACCCACTCTTGAATATAAGTGACTCAAGTGTCCACAACGGCAATTAGTCTTGAGAGATTCTCTGTCATCCAGGTCATGGTTGCCCCAAAGGTGCTTTTTTTCAGGAGACAACTGGACTTCCTTGTTTTTTCTTTTTCTTTTGAAGACATTTCATTTCTCATCCAAGGAGCTTCTTCAGTTCTGACTGGATGATGGGGAAAGGAAGGGTTTATATTCCTTGCAGATACGTAGATCTGCATCCTTTTAGAGGGTCGTTGAGGCCACTTGGGGGTTTGCCTAGGTCCTCAGGGTCACCTGAGTGATGCAAATGGTTCCTGTAGAGTGCAATTTTTTTTCCTCTGGAAATCTATTCCTGCTCCCACATCATTTAAAGGGGGTTCGTCCCAAATTGTGTAGCTAAAAGTCTGTAAAGTGAACGTTTGTCTGTAAAGTTTTTTCTTCCAAAGAAAAAACATGAAAGTCCAGTTGTCTCCTGAAAAAAGCACCTATGCAATAGCCATTGTTATACAGATTAACAGAGTTGGAAGGGACCTTATAGGTCATCTTGTCCAACCCCCTCCCCAAGTAGACTATACACCATTTCTGACAGAAGTCAGTCCAATCTCTTCTTGAAAGCTTCCAGTAGTGATGAAGCTACCACAACTTTTGGAGGCAACTTCTGTTCCATGGGTTGATTGTTCTCACTGTCAGAAAATTCCTTCTTATTTCCAGGTTGAATCTCTCCTTGGTCAGTTTCCATCCATTCTACCTTGTATGGCCTTCAGGTGCTTTGGAAAATAGCTTGACCCCCTCCTCTCTGTGGCAGCCCCTCAAATATTGGAAGACTGCTATCCTGTCTCCCATGGTCCTTCTCTTCATTGGACTAGCTATGCCCAGTTCCTCAACCGTTCATCGTATGTTTCCACCTCCAGTCCCACAATCATCCTGGTTGCTCTTCTCTGCCCTCTTTCTAGAGTCTCAACATCTTTTTTACAGTGTGGTAACCAAAACTGGATGCAGTACTCTAGGTGTGGGCTTTATGGAGTGGGATTAGTACCTCTCTTGATCTTGATTGTATCCCTCTGTTACTGCAATTTAGGATTGCATTGGCTTTTTTTGGGCTGCCGCCGCAGACTGTTTACAATTTGTTGATTCAAACATCCCAACCGTATCTAGCGGACTTCACTCTTTAGAACCCAAATTGTATTTTTCATACCATACTAAGAGAATCGTGTAAAAACTTTTTCCAAACCTATTTTCAAGTGCTCATTCGATTATCCCTGTTTATAACA